AAAGAATCCAATTCCCCTAATTTTATGAGAATTTTGATCAGACTTAAGGATGATGATAGGGTTAGAATTTGATGATTTTGACACTTTTAATGTGTTTAGAATGAAAAATTATATGAGATAAAGGTTAGAAAGCAAGCTTGAAAGCATTGGAATTGAAAATAAAATTTTGCTCTAAAACCCCTATGTATTCATGAAGGGAATTGAAAGACGACGCGCAGCGGAAAAACTTAAAATTTTAAAACTTTCAATCCCTTGCCCGGATCTACCGATCGCGTTTAAGTCAGGTAGTAAGAAGCATTACCTTTCGGTGTTCGGTTTCCTGGTGACTCGGTGATTCTGCCGTTCAGGATGCCTCTGCTCGCCTCCTTTGTCGTTCGAAGTCGACAACTCCGGTCGGCTTCCTCTACCGGTATCCACACGAGTAGCCCTCAATCTCGAACGACATGCTAGCGTCTATGTCCGTCTAGGGTTTTCAAAAATCCGTCCTCTCTCCTCACTTTTGGCCGTCCCTTATCTGCTTAATGCTTTCGCTCTCACTTATAAAACCCTAGCTCCCTAATATCGAATATATAGGATGCTATAGGTATTATGAATGATATTTTAATTTCGAAATTAATCCTAAATTAATTCCGAAATTAATACAATATCAAATATTGCATAATTAGATAAGAGAACAATTAAATAAATACGGTTTATATTAAATCCGTCTCACAGATTTAATTCACCTATTTATTTAATTCAAAATAAAGATATGACGGAATTAATTTACATAGATCTAATTTATCCTTATAAATTAAATCTAACAATTAAAATCTCTTATATTTATATAATATATATATACGAATATATATATACACGTCCACCCTATTTATTCATTGAATCTGGACATATCTTAGATTCAATGAATCTGGACATCATAACTCGCGTTGGGCTATTTTGTGTGCGACCCTGTAGGCCCATATGAAGTTGGCAGTGGGCCATTAACTATAATGACTCACAAGTCGTAAGCGGTCTCTAGCAAGACATCACGACTACCCAAAACATATGAGGATCATTGAACGATGCAACCTTTCATACAACCATATCATGTCCCTTTTGTCACATGACATTTTGGTCATGGATGAGGCATGGAGAACATCATCCTCCTATTCATGACCGTTACTTTCTCGATCCCTGAGTAGTCTGAGTATAGAAACAGAACTACCTTTCCATTATAGTATGGCCATACATTCTCAGACTCACTCATCGAGGGGGCCCAGTAATGTCTCTCTACGAATGTGAGGGACAAATTCCATCTTGACCATTCACATTCCTCCGCATGAAAAACCACTAAGCCTGAACATAGTCTTTATGATCACTCGGTCAAAAGTGACTTTTGACTAGGTCAAAGCTAAGCGTTTCTCATGTATGAATCCATGATGATCTCAGGTCAAAGGGCATAGTGACATGGTTTGTATATGAGAGAAGCTTATGACTTAACCCATGCAGCTCTCTCATAGCGGGTCGGTCCAACACCTTGTACTCTTACATGTGCCTATGACTTTAATTTATATCTCTATATATCTTTAAAGTCATACTGGTCTTATTTCATCTTTGCTCCCACATAGATGACTAACCAGGGACATTTAGGATAAACCATGAGTTATCCAAGGATAGTCATCACAATAAACATGCAAATGATAACGTAATTAATAAATTCATAAATCAACAATGTTCATAGCAAAATGATTGGCCCCTAGGGCACAATTTCCAACAATTCGGCCATGCCTAGATGAAGGGAAAGGAGTTAGATTTTGTTGAATTTGATCTTGAAAATGGATTCTACATGCAAAGTTATGGGAGAACCGCATGTGAAATTAATTTTAGAAAGATTGAATCAAATTTAAAAGTTAGAAGTCAATGTGGCTTAAAGAAAGCAATGTGTTAATGCTGATTGTGATCATAGTTCTAATGAGTTAATGGCATTGTGTGCTAATATATTTAGGACTATGAGATGTTAAGGAACATGAATAGAAAAATTTGAGCAAACAACCTAAATGGTTAGAGGCAAAAGGAGCAAGAGGGAGTAAAGAGAAGGCTTAAAGATACAAGGTATAATGTGCAAGGGAAGAGAAATGCATGAAGAATAACAAAGAAAGAAGAGAAGAAAGTAACAATTGTGCCTATGTATTTAATGTAATCTTTATGTTAATGTATATATGGATAATACCAATGATATTATATAATGTTAAATGATGATGATGGCATGGATGATGGAGCATGTTAATAGATGAGAATGAATTATACAATATTGGAATGATTATGAGTATACAAGGAATAATTATAGTATGTTAATTCAAATTAAAGGGGATAAATGACTCTTAATGTGTAGTAAAGTTGAGATAAAGTAAAAATAAAGTAAATGAACGAATCTGACCTTGAAACTTTGTGAGCAATTAGTACACATCTCAAGCTTTATAACAACTAATACATCACATGAAATGGATGTGTGTGCTAAAAGAAATGATTTCTCAAAGTTAGGCTAGAAAAGTTGAAAATTATTGTTTAACCAAATGAATAGTATAATTGCATGTAATTTACTGTACAAAATAGGCAAGTAAATGAATTGGTGAGTATTTTTCTCCATGGAGAATTGAAAGAGTTTTAAATGAAAAATTTAGTCACCTCAATACGATTTTTTTATAATTAATTAGTTATGAATTTTTAAAATTAAACCAAAAATCTGAAACTTACCAGTGAATAGTAGCTCGAAAAGCAAATATCAAAATTTCAATTTACGAGCTTATTCTATAATCTGCTTGAGCCGTAACGCTACCAGACACATATCAAATGGGTTGAAAGAAATGATGTTTCATATATTCTCTCACAAACATATATTAATGAAAATTTTTATTTTGAAGAAATCATATTATCCACAAGTTATAAGTAATATCACTACTACAAAAAACAAATAACGTCAGAGAAGAAGGACAATTAAAAAGAAAAGTGGTGGTATTTGTGTAAATAAATTGTGACCGTTAACTTTCCACAGCTATTATTAAGAAAGCCGTTGTGGAAAATACTTTTAATGGCAGTTATCGTTCATAACCACCGTTAAGAATTCTTTCCACGATGGTTTTTGTCACATCCAGTAATCTGGTAAATAGAAATAAGGATATTCATAGGCATTTATAGGCCAAAATAATAGGAAGAAATAGAAGAACATAATTCCTAAAATTTATGTTAGTGTTGGGGCAAAAGAACAATTCCACAAAAGTTATGGGCAAGATTATATAATTTTGAAAATATGTAAGAAATAATCAAAAATTATGAAATAATCATAGAAATTAAAGGAAAGCCCCTGGACACTATATTAATTTTTAAAATGAATAATTTTGATGGGAAGTATTTATTATGATTTTCCAGCTAGTTTTGAAAGTTTGACTAATTAAGCAAACTTGGTTAAAATTAATTATGAAAAATATTTTGAGACTCAGAAAATTGAGAAACAATAGGGATAATGTACCTTGGGAATTATATGACAGTGTATAAGTGGTTTTATGCCCAAATTATCCCTAAAAAAATTATAAAGAAATTTAAGAGTGAATTAGGTCAAATTGAGGTCTTTTATTTGGAAAATTCCAAATAAATACCTTTCAGGAAAACTAAATTCCTAGAAAATTCATGAAACATCCTTCCTTTAACCCCTCAAAGTATGCATTTGGAAGTGTTATGGTTCAAGTGATTCACGAACCAAGCTCATAGATTGAAAATTTGCAATTGGTTCTCAAGTTACTGTTCATTAGTTAAATGGGAAAATGGCATTAAGGTCCCACACAAGCATAAATACAGCAAAAAGATCCCTTGAAATCTCATAATATTTCTAAAGTCCCAAAGGGACTTGTGTGTAATTTTTAGAATCATCAAATGACACTCTTGCCCTAACTATCAGAAATAAAGACATTGGGTGAGGAGTTTCCCGCGCAATATGGTTGAGAGAGAAGACGTTGGGAAAGAGTGAAGGAGCCATTGATGATGAAGTATCTTCTCCATTACCATTAGTGAACTCCAAAGAGCTTTCATGTGAATCTCCACAAATCTTCAGGTGTGGAACTTTCTTTCCTCTCCTCTCCTACCTTTCTTGACAGATTGTGCATTTGTTTGGGAATGAAAAATCAGAAAATCATTTTTGCCTTTGGTACTGCAAAGCTTTTGTTTTTGGTCTAGGATTCACAAGTTAATCAATGGAGAAGCTGTGTTTTTGGCTGGTGTGTGTTGGTGATTTAAGTTGGGTGTCTAGGATGATCATGGGTGCTCTGTTTTTGGGTTGTTTATGGGTGGTTTTGCTCTGTTTTGACGTTAGTTCAGTGGCAAAGGAAGAAGAAGATGAACATTAGTATGGGTAGAAACCCTTAGCACGAAATGGGATATTGTGTTGTCAATCAGGCCGCCATAGTTGTCAATGTGTGCCACGACACTTGTCATATAGCTCCTTGACTTGTCAATGACAGTTGCATGATTCTTGATGCAGGTTTAAATTACTGATGACGAGTACATCTGTAAAGCATCTATTTTGCTTTGTTCACATAGGGGGGAGTTTATAAATGATGGAGAAGATGATATGAAATATGTGGGAGGTAGTGTGAGAACAACAAATGTAAAGGAGGGCACAAGTTATGAAGAATTGAAGGAGATAATATCATCAATTGCTAGAAAAGAAAGCAACTCATTTCTTTTGAAATTCTCAGTTGTGTTTGATAAAAAAAAACTTTTGTAGAGTTGGTAGATGATGATGGGGTAGAACATTTGATATAGTTCAATGAAAAAAGTGGTTATGTGTATGTAGAAGAGAATGGAAATAAAGACCACATATAAGCAACAAGGGATAATACACTGGAGGAACAAGATGTGTAAGTTTAGTTTAACAAAACTGTTATTGTCATTTCTTGGTATGTCAGTTGTTACTGTCTTACTACCAACTTGTCAATGCATGCACCCTGACTTGTCTACACTTCTTGCAGGATTGATCAATCATTTGGAGGTGTCAATAAATTGTCTATATCTCCACCTACCTTATTTGATGTGATTGGAGAGCCACCATCAATTCCTTATGCTGTTGAAATGATCCCAACACCTACACCACAAATAAATTGTCTATATCTCTACCTACCTTATCTAATGTTACTTGTCACTGGATGCTGTGTTACTTGTCACTGGATGTTCTGTTAGTTGTTAGTGGATGCTGTGTTACTTGCCACTGGATGCTCTGTTAGTTGTTAGTGGATGCTGTGTTACTTGTCACTGGATGCTATGCTCCTTGAACCAGATGCTCTGTTAGTTGTTAGTAGATGTTGTGTTTTTTGTCACTGGATGCTGTGTTACTTGTCACTAGATACTGTGTTGTTAGTGAAGCCTTTTGATTTGTGTTTTTTTTTTTTGCAGATGAACTATTTCCATATGATGTTGCATGCTGTTAAGCCAGAATTGTTTGCCAATGAGGACAAAATTGACAACGAAGTGAAATGGGCTAAAGTTTACGTGCAGAATGATACGTGAGTGTAGTTGCTTTGTTCGATTGTATTATGTTGTTTTTGTTCACAATAACAATTGCATGGTACTAACATATTCAATTTCCTTGACAGTGATTCATGTAGAGTTCATGTTCTCTCTTGGCTACAAGAGTGGGATGGTACTGTTCGTGATGATGCAGGATATACAATGCCACGATACTACAATGGTGAACTATAAGAGTTGAAGGTTGGCTGTTTGTGGTGGTTTCTTACCCATCCAAATAATGAAGATGGGGTGAAGTGATGTCGATGTTATCAGACTACAACAAGAGCAAGAAGAGGAGATAGAGTAGTCTATTAATTTTTTGTTTTGTTAGCCCATGATATGTGTTGTAAGATGATTGGCAAACAAGTCATTTTGTAACAAACTGATCAAATTATATTTATAATATTATTACCTTTGTCATCACATGTTGTAATACTAATTTCTTAGGATTTTATTACATTTTTAATTACATTTCTGTTTTATATGTGCAGAGATATTAAGGGACAGTGTTTTATAAAATATTCTAATTTAATGACAAGTGATATAAGAATTTCATAACAAATGAATGTGTGGATATTAACAATTGATATTCAAAATTTTCACAACTAAAGGTGTCTATATAAATAATGTTACAATGCTCCATTGACAAGTCATACTGCAACCATTGACAAAGGACAGTGTTCTTATTAACAAGTCACAGTGCTCCATTGACAAGTCATAGTGTAACCATTGATAAGGAACAATGTTTTCACTAACAAGTCACAGTGCTCCATTGACAAGTCATAGTGAGACCATCGACAAGAAAGTATTCTCACTAACAAGTCACAGTGCTCTATTGACAAGTCATAGTGCAACTGTTGACAAGGGATAATGTTCTCACTAACAAGTCATAGTGCTCTATTAACAAGTCATAGTGCCACCATTGAGAAGGGACAGTGTTCTTATTAACAAGACACAGAGCTCCATTGACAAGTTAGTGTGCCACTTGTAACATCTAAACTTTTGGGCCTAGAAGTATCAAAAATAGCCTGAATTGGATAGGCTACCATACCCCTTTTGAGCAGAAGTCCCAAAGATGAGAAAGGAAGTTAAAGCAGTTTTAGGGACTAAACTACAAAGTAAAAGTTTTTAGGGACTCAAGTATAATCAAGGCTAGAGGCTCCAATAAAGTCTTAAGGGACCAAAAAGAGAAAAGAGGCTAGATACAGGCCAAGGGTTAAGTTAGAAACCTCAAAGAGAGGATTGTATGAAGTTAAGTCCAAGCAGGGACTAAACCGTAAATTCAGAAAACTATGACTAACAGGGGTAAAAATAGAGGAGTATACAGAGAATTCCAAGAAAAATCCCAGAAAATGAGAAATAATATTCCAAGACTCTTCTGTGAAGAGAAAAGACGAAAATACCCTTGAGGTAGCTTAAATAGAATTTGAGGTTATGGACGGTAAAAAGTATACCGTTTTACGTAATTATTTGAAATAGTAAGAGACCTAAAAAATGTATACAAAAATAAGGTTAAATGGTTGAAAGGTTGTACTAATTTATAAAAATTAGTCCTGTAACCAAAAGGCTAGTGGAATGGCTTTAATAAATTAAAATGCCAGTTATGCCGATAAAAGGGTATTTTAGTAAATGAATTTTATGCAAGGCTTAAAGGAAGTGTTATGGCCTAAGAAAATTCATAGATATTCTCTAGAATTAAAGAGAATTTATGAAGTAGATAGAAGAATTTTCTGAGCTCCGAAAGGCCATAAAGGAAGTTGGAGAAACGTGGACCAAGTAAAATAAGAGGAAACTTAGGGAACAAGTTTTGATCCAACGGCTAAGATCTAATCTCCCTTCTCCTCCACCACTTTTATGACACCTAGCATCTTCTAAAAGGATGAGGTAAGCATGATGCAAGAAGATGATGCAATGATGATGTAAAAGTTAACTTGAAGTTCCAAAATTGCTCTTACCCTTTCTATTAGCCACCAAGGGCATTTTGGTCCATTCAAGCCAAAGTTTTGGCTATAAATAGGCATTCCCTCCCCTCACATTTTGGCCAAGCAAGGAACCATAGGGGAGACTCTGCCTCTCTTGCATTTAGAGAGAGAAAGAGCTATTTCTAATGAGACAAAGTCCACCTAAGTTCAAGCTTCAAGATCAACGTATGTGATGGTTATAGCACCTGATTTGATGCCTATTTCAAATTAGTTTCTATTTGCATCTAATTTTGAAATTTGGTATGATTAAAGTGCATTCTGTGAGCTTTAAATCCATGGGTAGAACACTTCATTTGGATATGTGTATGATTTATGGTGATTTTTCAAAGTTAGGGTCTGAAATCTAGAAACAGTGTTGAACCTTTGGAAGAGTGACGAATTCCGTACAATTTCGATACTTTTCAGCATAGAATTGGTTCCTAAAACTATTTTTAATTTAAATATAACTTAAGGAGATTTTAATGAGACTTGGAGCCACTCAGTTTTGATTTTTCTAGAATTAATTATGAATTTTCAAAGTTGAGCAAAAATTCTGGAATGTTTGTGTGAATAGTAGCCGCGAAGCAAAATTTTCAGATTTGATCTTCTTGAATCTAAGGCCATCTAAAGTGGTCCTAATTGACAATAAATAGATCTTAAGGATGGGAAATGATAAGATTTATGTTAGAAAAGCTAGAAAAAAAACCCTAAAAGCAAAAGAAAGGGTTGAGGTTCAAGAGAGCTACTCTTGAACTTTATGTAATCTAGTGGTCCTAATAGATTGTGTGATCAATGTGATTATGTTTAGGACCTTGGAACATATAAGAGGATGTTTGGTGATGTTGACCAAATGCCCACATGGTTGGAAAGTCAAGGGAGTCAAAGGAAACATAAGAGGAAAACTTGAGGTGCAAGGTAGTGAACTTACCTATTGTTATTGCTTGATGTTGTATGCTTGTGTGTTGCCGTGTACATGTTATTGAATGTTATTGTAATATGTTTTAGCTACTGTAATTGCTATTCATGATGAGTAGATTATGTCTCCATGGCCATGCATCAAGAAGTTAGCTTTGAGCATACTAATATGTTACTAATTAACAAGAGAACAAACAAGTTGCGTGTAGTGCATTAGCATCCATCTATCATGAATAATATGGTATTGTTTGCTACTGAGATTCTCCCAAATCTCACCCCCTCCCTAACCAACTATTTAGGTCAATCATCAATGGGCAATAATGGCATGATAAGCAAGGAGAAGAAAGTGGAGAATTACTGATGTTAATGAATGATATTATTATTCAATGTGTAATTCTCCTATTATGTAATTTATGTTGTGGATGCCAATGATACCATGTATTTAATTATAATGCTTATGGCATGTATAGAAATGTATGAGAATGGATGGGAAAGAGTAAGCCCATGTTATGTATGCCAAAAAAATAAAAAGAATTAAAGTAAAGAGATGTTAAGGGATAAAACATAGGTCCTGGAGCAGTGAGTTTGTAACTCCAGTTTGACCTACCAAACGAATGAGTTAAGCCTTAAGATTTAGTAGACTCATAATACACATTCCAAGATTTAAAATGAGAGGTAGATCACCTTAATTGGATGTGTTCACAAGGAGATATGAATTTCCAAATTTGAGGCACAGAATCTAGAAGTTCCAGATTTTACAAAATGAACAGTAATATTTATTGATTAAACTGTATGAATTAGACAAGGATAAGTCCAATTGGATATTTTTTCCCTTAAAGAGATTTGAAATATCTTTTTTTAGAACTTTAGAACACCCCAATACAATTTTTATGGAATTAGTTATGAATTTTTGAAATTGGGCCTGTAATCTGGAAATTAAACAGTAAATAATAACCCGAGTAATTATGCTGAAATTTTAATCCACGGGCTTAAGTTGTGATGCTTGAATCATAACACTTACGAATGCGTACTCTGAGGGATTAAAGGCAGGGTGTTTCACTACTATTGACAAGTCACAGTGCCACTATTGATAGGGGACAGGAAGAGGTAAGTTTTTAACACTTCATTAATAATAATTATATATGACAATATAACCAAAATATAATATAACAGAGTGATTGAAAATATCATTTGATGGTAAAAAAGGTTATGTTACTTGAATTCATATTGTTGACAATTTACATTAGCAAATTTATTGACAAGTCATAGTGCAATGATTGACAAGTCATAACAGGTCTAATGACAACGTAGAGTGCAGGTAATGACAACTGAACTGATAGAAGAATTTAACATGCCAATTCATAGTCAACTTTCATTTACACCTTCATATACATGAAACTACACCTATTTCACAACCCATCCAAAAAATACATAGGGGTTGCATATAATTACAAAACTAACCAGTGATGTGTATCTATTTACAAAAAAATCCTTCACACCCATTTACAAAATATTCCCTTCACAGCCATATATAAAAAATAGCTGATTTCAATATGTTCTCAGTTGGGATTTGGGTTCTTACATGTCTTGCACAATATTTTTCGGAGAGCAGTGGCATTTGGAAATATTTGTCCTTCTCCAATAATCAAATCCTTCCATTTTGTGGAATTTATTTGTGGTGTAGGTGTTGGGATCATTTCAACAGTATAAGGAATTGATGGTAGCTCTCCAATCACATCAGATAAGATAGGTGAAGACATAGACAATTCATTTACACCTCCAAATGATTAATCAATCCTACAGGAAATGACAAGTCAAGGTGTATACATTAACAAGTTGGTAATAAGACAGTAACAATTGATATACCAAGAAATGACAATAACAGTTTTATTAAACTAAACTTACATATCTTGTTCCTCTATTGTATTATCCCTTATTGCTTCTATGTGGTCCTTATTTTCATTCTCTTCTACATACACATGACCACTTTTTTTATTGAACTTTATCAAATGTTCTACCCTATCATTATCTACCAACTCCACAAAAGTTTTTTTATCAAACACAACTAAGAATTTCAAAAGAAATGAGTTGTTTTCTTTTCCAGCAAATTGATGATATTATTTCCTTCAATTCTTCATAACTTGTGCCCTCCTTTACATTTGTTGTTCTTACACTACCTCCCACATATCTCATATCATCTTCTCTATCATTTATAAACTTTCTCCATATGTGAACAAAGCAAACTAGATGCTTTACAAATGTACTCGCCATCAATAATTTAAACCTGCATCAAGAATCACGCAACTGTCATTGACA